GCCATACACATTTTTTGAATGATGGATTGAACAGAGCTTTGTGAAATGGGATATTGTTTGGTGCCTGTTTGGTGCCTCTCTGACTTATCTGCTGTGTTTGTTAGTCGTCATGATGGCGTTTGTCCCTAATGTCCTACGGATCTCGGAGACACTGGGAAGTATTGTTCCTTCACTTAAAATGTAAAAAAAAATAAAAAATAAAAAAAAAATACATAGCAGTTGGAGATTTTAATATGTCAAAATGTGCATGCATACTATTAAAACAAAATATGATCAATTTTCAAAACTTGCAAAAATGGGTGCAAACGCCTGCATGTTGCTTTGCTGGTTTGCTCAGTTAAACATCCCCACAAAAGAAATAATATAATTGCATTATTTTCTTTTGCTGTGTAACTTTTTGAAAAATAGCACTAAGCAAAGACCAGTGGCTCTCTTCATATTGAGGCAGATGGGCAGTGTGTCTTCCACACCTGCCCAATGCTGTCATCAGTGGGCTGGCGGGGAGGGGAACCTGTGCCCTTACCTGCAGCACCAGACAAGATTAAAGGGATGAACAGACAGAAAACCTGATGCTCATGCTCAGTACATCCTCCCACACAGTCTGCAGAACAACAAAAAGCCACTTAGTGGCTCTGCAAGCTGCATCATGATCCTAAATCCAGAGGCGGAAAATAATGTTTCAACACTCTGATGTTATTAAAGTGATCTGCCAAACTTGTTTTCACACAGTGGTTTTAATAGTTTTAATTATTCCTGTTTAATTAGAAGAAAGCCATTTCCGTCTGGATAGCCGGCACAATCAAATGTCTTAATTAACAATTATATGAGTGTCGTTTTTTTTTTTAGTCCGGTTTGGCCAATCTGGGATTTGGTAAATGTGTAAAATCAAGAGAAGGACTTTAATAATGAAGAGAGAACTATATCACTCAGGGCGGGGTCAAAAGAAGATGGTTTTTATAGGAGATGATGATGTCACCATGTGACAGATGAAACATCAGACAGACACACACACACACACACACACACACACACACACACACACACGGAGACAAACGCACACAAAACTCAAGAGGCTTCTTGTCATTGTTCAGCACACACATGGAAGACGCGCACACTAACCAGCTGCGCTCTGGGGAGCGGACGCTCAGCATCCAGGTAGGATAAAAACAGGTTTTATACTTTATTTGTTTAACAATCTTTGACATGCATGTAAAATGTTATGATTTTGTAAACGTTTTTTTTTTCTTTAAGTGTTAATTTTCCACTCTTATAATCCTTATGAAGTTCTAATTCAGTCAAAGTCAGTCATGTTTTCACTTTGATTTATTTAGACATGGCAAAGATTAATCTAAATCATCTAAAAGTTTTGCATTTGCAACAGCCACTGATTGATCTGCATCTTTTTTTGTGTGTTGTTCCAGATTTTCCACAATGAAATAATCAAAGCAGCCCTCAGCACATTGATTCTTTTCAACTGGCTTTCCTTGCAAAAATGCAAGTAAACCGTGTTTGACTTGGGGGGGCCCTGGCGGAGGGGTGGAGGTGCATGCTTCTGCAGTGGCGTCTCTGTGCGTCGGCTGTGCTCATGGCTCAGAGGAGGGCTGCAGGTGGCTGCTGCTGCTGCTGCTGCTCCCGGGCTCCCCTGAATGAAGACAACGCTCGCTTCTGCCTGCTGGCCGGCCTCATCCTTCTCTACTTGCTGTGCGGAGCAGCTATCTTCTCGGCTTTGGAGTACCCGTTTGAGATCCGCGCCCGGCTTCTCTGGAAGCAGCAGCTGGAGAACTTCACGAGGCGGTACAGGGTCAACCTGGGCGCCCTGCACACCCTGCTGCGGCAGTATGAGCAGGCGAACGGAGCGGGGATCAGAGTGGACGAGTTGAGGCCACGCTGGGACTTTTCTGGAGCTTTTTACTTTGTGGGCACTGTGGTCTCTACTATTGGTAATGTAGCTTTTATACACTTTAATTTCTCTTAGATCTTCGGTAACTGAGTCAATAATTGTAAAGATACTGCCACCGCTGACTTTACCTGAGTAATGTTTGAAGAGGGTGCTGGGGTTTTCTTCAAATCTAACAAAATTGGTGTCGAGCTTTTGTGTAGCAAAAAATGTTGTAAGTAAAAATGACCTTTGATGAGGTCATTAAAGGTCAGCCGGCCCATCTATGTTTACAAAATCAAACAGGGTACGATATCAGTCTACTGTGCTAGAGTTGTGCTGGTTTGTGCAGTAAAAAGATTAGAATAATAAAAACGTTCTAGAGGTCAACTGAGATAAACATAACCACACAAAATGGATATAGATTCCTTGTGCTACGTTTGTGCTGCTTTGTGCAATTTAAATGTTTGTAGCACAGTTGATTGATAACATATTTAGTTTGATTTTGTAAATGTGGTGGACTGGTCGATCTTTGATGACCTCTGGAAACATTTTCGTAAAACAATCACGGCGCAAGCAAATATTTTTGGCTGCACAAACTTTTCACAACAATTTAGTTTGATATAAAAAAAATAAAAAATTCACTCAGTTTTTTTAACACTCATTTTGTCCTTTCCAGGTTTTGGCATGACCACACCGGCGACCATCGCCGGAAAGATATTCCTCATCTTCTATGGCCTCATTGGCTGTGCAGCCACCATCCTCTTCTTCAACCTCTTCCTCGAAAGGATCATCACCATGTTGGCATACATCATGCGCTGGTGTCATGAACGGCGGCTGAGGTGCGGAGGAGCTGGCGTGGCGTCGAGCAGAGAGGAGTCATCCGGTGAAGAGGACAGCCTGGAAGGCTGGAAACCGTCGGTCTATTACGTGATGCTGATTCTGGGACTGGCGTCTGTTGTGATCGCCTGCAGCGCCTCCACCCTGTACAGCACCATGGAGAACTGGAGCTACGTCGACTCCCTCTACTTCTGCTTTGTTGCATTCAGCACCATCGGCTTTGGGGACCTGGTGAGCAGTCAGAGGGAGCGCTATGAATCCCAAGGGGCCTACCGGCTCGGAAACTGCCTTTTCATCCTAATGGGAGTGTGCTGCATCTACTCGCTGTTCAATGTCATTTCTATCATTATCAAGCAAACTCTCAACTGGATCCTGGGGAAGCTGGCCTGCTCTGGGCAACGCAAGCTCTGTTCCTGCCCCTGCCTCCGAGGTAAAAAGCAAAGCCAGAGGGGTCCGGCGGCACGCCTCAGACTCAAGCGAGTGAAACGCAACGCTGTGCAGCCTGTTTCCGCCCAGTTCCCCATGGGAAGGCAGCGCTACACGGACGGCTCTGTGGAAAGTGTGTGTGACAGCGAGACAGACGCTGGCCCAGGGGCGGAAGTGCATCTGGGCCGTCGTCTGTCCGGAGAGATGATCTCTGTCAATGAGTTCATGGTGTCCAATAAGGTGTCTCTGGCGCTGCTGCAAAAGCAGCTGAGTGAAACTGCTCACCAAGGGCCCCGGCAGAGCTACGGGCACCAGAACGGGTTTTCCGGAGGGGTGGGGGCCTTGGGAATCATGAACAACCGCCTGCAGGAAACCAGTGTGGATAGATAGCGTCATTGCTTTGGGCTCTCTAGAAAACCATTAGCTTTGTCCGATCTGCATTTGCAAACCAAATCATGTGAATTTTGACTGTTTTTGCCCCGGGTGCAGTAGATTAGTTCAGTTGAGAGAACAGCGGACTTTCATAGTGAACTCTGCAATGCAAGTAAGTGATGATTTTATTTGGCGAGGCGAGAAAAAAAGGAGACATTTTTAGCTTAAAAAAGACTTGTGAAGAGGGGCCCGAAGTCCTGAAGTGACTGACTCATACCAAAGCAATCAGGCGAAAGAAGCCGTGGAGGACCACTTAAAGGAGGCTGCTGATTTGAAGAACGCTGCACATGTTGCTGGACCTCACAGAACAGAGAGGGTTCTATCGGATCACAGTAGTTAATAACGTGCAAACGCAATACCTACCATCGCTTCTTAGTTATCCATTTCAAACGTAAAGTAATTAAAATGTGACCTGTATTTAAAAATAGCTCCAGCAGAACTATAGAAAGGCTAGCAAACAGCAGAAAGGAGACATTTTAATTTGTCGATTGCTCACAAAGCACCCATCTTAGAAGTCATTTAAATTCATAGTCATCTTGAAGAAGATCCAGGCTTTTGAGCAGAGAACAACTAATCAAATGTGGCTCGCAAAGGACACTCCTGTGTCAATAAGTGCCACATAAGTAGTCACGCCATCATATAAACACAGAGAGAAAAGCTTAAGCGATCCGCAGCGAACTCTTAAAAGATCTTTTACTATGCAAGGAAAGGAAGCATCCATCTATGGCACGTAGCGTTGATGTGGCGTGTTTTTAACAGACATTTTATTTTAACAGTTCAAAGTCTTTTTCTTAGATTTTGTTTCGATAAAGAAACATTTTTAGTAAGTTTGGGAGTTTTATTTTATTGTTGTGAGACAGAATGCGGAAAAATAATTGTAAATAAATGTTAAAAATCTACCATTTGTTAATCAAAGAAGTGTCAAATCTCCACGAAAACAGATTTTAGTACTTGTCAGATTGTTGGTTTTTTTTGACAAGTTTGCAGGAAGACTTTTTCTGTTGCTGCTCACTGAGTTTGCACACATCTCAGGAGGGAGTTTAGCTCACTCCGCATTAAACTAGCTTTAAATCTTTTATTTCTCTTTGCCGCTGCTTGGTGACTTAAAGCTTCACCTCCCTGCACACATTTTCTGTTGGACTCTGGTCCAAACACTTATTGTGTTTCTTCTTCAACCACTTTTTGTGTCCTTGTAGATATGTTGTATGATATGTTCAAAATGTGGAAGACAGAATTCCAGCATCAAATATTTATTTATTTGAATACAAATGCAAAAACGTTTTAACATTAATGCAATTTGTTTTTTCTCAGCTATTATTTCTGTCCGTTATTCTGTCCCACAAAAATGAAACGACCTTAAAAGTGAAGATTGCTTATTTCCCACAGGTGAAAAAAAAAAAGCACAAAATCAACAGGAAAACAAAAAGTGAGTCATATGTTCTTTATTCAGATTAAAATCTTTACTCTCATCATTTAATGTTTAAACACAGAAAATGATAAACAAACGTAACAGGATGATGCAGAACGATGTAGATAAAAGAACCAATACGGAAACTGACCCGTTCTGTTGTTTGTTGCTGATGTTTTATCTACCATATGAGAGAAGAATAAGGCAGCACAGGACATGATCAGCTCACTGAAAAAATACATTTCACAGACAATTTCAAAATCCTTAGAAAGTTGGTAAATGCATGAACATGGCCATGTAGAAATTTGAGTTGTCATTAAATTCAGATTTAGGCCATTGTCTGGATATGTTCTGGCCAAACTTCCTGATAAGCAAATGTTTTTTTTCTGCAGTTACAATAAAAATACAGACATTATTATTAACCACTTTAGAAAAAAAAATTTATCTTCTGGTTTGTGAAATGTATTTTTTTCCTTTATGTATGTATAATAAAATATTTGTAATTATTTACTTATCACCAGCAATAAGAAACATAAATGAGTTCCCTGACCCCCTTTTATTACTATTTCCTGTAGGAACAAATGGCCATTTGCATGCTCACTAGCGTTGACAATTAACTGTTCAATTCCAAACATGTTTACTTTAAAATTTTCTTTAAAATACGTCATGTGTATCAAATAGTCCTGTTTTATTTATCCGATGAAAATGTACAGTGTCACAGTTGCTTTTAATCCGGTTGTACTGATCTGTCCTTTGAATTGATTAGCTGTGCTGTGTGTTCACTGAATTAGAGGCATATGTTCATTCCTTGCTCTGTGTCCGAGTACGTTTTACAAAATATCCGTCTGGTACAAATATAAAGTTTTAGGCTTTATTAGATCTCTTTGTGCATTGCATTTGTTTTAACAAGATGCCGCCTGCGAGCATGATGTAAACAAACACCTTTGTCAGGTCACGTGATTCCCCCTTATGGTCAGACTGCACACATGAGGAAACAGTTTAATATTCACATTTTATTACAGTCCCTCTGAGTCAGAGAGTATCCACTTCAGGGTCTCATGAACTTCCCAGAGCCTGTTAAGACAAGTAATGTTGAAAACAGAGGCATATTTTGTATATTAAAATAAAATAGATGGATTTCAGTGAGAAAACGGTTTAGTGTGGACTCACATTTGGTACTGCAGGGTTGTGTGTCTCTCTTTGATGATAGTAAGCAGAGATAATACAGTTTCTCCTGTAACACACAAACATGACATGGTGGTGGTGTTTTTTTTTTTTTTTTTGAAACCAGTGTATAAGTGTAGCTTTGATTTTACATGTAGATACTTTAGGTTACATTTTGGGCTGCCTTACTTGCTCTGTATGCCTCCACCTGGAGGTAAGCCAGGAATGACGGTGGACGCCAGGACTGTGAGGACAGACAGCAGGTCAGGCTCCTCCCCGGAGGCAGACAACTCGTCATAGATTTCTGTCAGACATCAGGACACAGAAACACTCGCGTGAGCACTTTCAGCAAACGGCTCCATACTTTGTGCACTTTCACTTTTGAAGTAAACTGCTTTGTTCTGTAGTTCTGTTGGTACTACAGAACTACATCACAATTAAAGAGATGTGGTGTGTTCAAATCACACCACATCTCTTTAATTTCTTACGTTTGGTTGTCTTCTCACTCTCTGCATCTGTTTACTATTCTTATTAGCACTTTTTATTTGAAGTACTCTGCCAGGTATGTCGCCGAACTCCATGAAAAACAATTAATGTTGTACGTTTGTTGGAGAGTATGATGGTTGGCTTTCCTTTTAATAGGCCTTTTGGGGTATTGCTGAATGCCTTTAGCCCTGCCCTCCTCTTTTAGTGTGGCATTTTCTTAAAATTGTATTTATGCTCCTTTAGTTTGCTTGTTGCGAATCACCTTTTGTATTGGGCAGCATTTTAATGAATTGCAATTCAACATTATTGTTATCTTGTATCTGCTTTTTCATTTTATTATATCATTTCTTGCGTTTATTTTTTTTATGTTATTTCTATTGGAAAAAATAGTAGGCCGAGCTGTCAACCGGTGGAACAACTTCGAGGAGGTGAATAAGGGTGCGTTCACACTGCAGCCTGAAGTGACCTAATTCCGATGTTTTGACGTAATGCGACCTGTATCCGATCTTTTCATGGCAGTGTGAACAGCACAGGTCGGATTCTATTTCGAATGTGACCCATATCCGACACGTATCCGATTCAAATGCGACCTAACGTCCAGGCTGCACTCATCCGAACTGAACGTCACTAATTCTCAACAAATCTCACTATTCTGCATCCTGATACGCGCAACCGGGAAGAAAAACAACAACAATGACGGACTGTATGATGATTAAGTTGTTAATATGCTGCTCCGGCCGGACAACAACTTCAAATGTGTAAGCTAACTCCACCGTTAGCCTCCATATTTACTTCCGCAAACACTGAGCACTTCTTCTTTTTATGGCGGTTGACAGAACATTGAGAACGCTGACGCTATTGCGCCCTCTAGTGAGCATGCGGGACACTTTCAGGTCGTTTGCCCGCAACTGGCAGTGTGAACGGCCCTGGCAAAAAAAAAATCGGAATTGCCAAAAAAAATCGGAATTGGGTCACTTCAGGCTGCAGTGTGAACGCACCCTAATTTCCATCAGTGCTGTTTGCATTGTTTAGCATTACATTAAGTTATTAGATAATCCCTGGAACACACGAATAGCACATGTTGATTCCATAGCAGTGGATCTACATGTATTGTTAAACTTTTAAATGGATAGATATTTTTAAACATAGTGTGGAAATAATCAAAAGCAACAATGTAGAGGTCCACCTTATGAATGCCTATGATCATTTTTGTGCTACCAAACACAAAAAGTTTACTTATCCCCCTTAGGCCAAACCAACAGCAAAGGTCTGTCTCTTCTTCATTTGAAGTTTGATGCCATTACATTGGTCTTTAGCATCACATGCTGGCGTGGCATATGTATTACAACATTGTTTGACAAGAACTTCACAGATTGTGCGACATAAATGTAGATTTTTTATTTTTATTTTTTTCAAAACAGGTGAAAAAAACGTTCACGTCAAAAATATTCAGTCTACTGTAAAAGCGGCATCTGAGTTGTGATTCCTATGCCAGTTAATTTTTCGGCATGTCAAAGAAATGCGTTAGCCTCTCCAGATCTGTCCACACTAAAAACACGTAAAAACATCTCTAATTTACAGTAAAATACCGGAAGCTGGTTACCATAGAATTTGACCGTATTCTACGGACTTCAGCGTAAAATTCTAGCAACCACAGCTGTCGGTATTTTACCGAAAGTTAGAAACGCATTATTTTTTTAAACAGTGCATGTTACATACTCAACAGCTTTAATTATCCAAAGCTTCCTGCTCCACTGAAACAGGAGGCAGCTGTACAATACAATCAAGGAGTTGTGACAAAGGTAAGGTCTTCTTAACTCTGCATCATAATCAATGTGGCACATAATTGCCAATACACAATTTTATCTATGTTTGGGTTTATAAATGTAGATATTGTTGTTGTAGTAGGAAGGTTTGAGAAAACCATGGGTTTAAATTTGAACAAGCACATTAATTAAAGTTGAAAAACAGAGTAAGCCACTCTTGCATTATAAAGTTTACTCCCCTAACAAACCTGCCACTTTGGATTCCAGCAGGTCCTCCAGCTCGGCCTCCTGGTGTAATGCTTCTGCTGACAGCTGGGGGGCGCCAGGGAAGCAGAGCAAGATGATGCTGATGTTGTCCAAGCTGCCCTGTGAAGCAGAGCAAAGCAGCGTCAGCACGGGGTGGGTAATGATGGCTGACCTCACAAATGTCAGCACACAGGACGCTCTCTCGTCCTGCGTGAGTCGCTTTAGAGATGGGTCAGTTTCACCTCAAGGTTTGCACACCTCTGTAACACGGATGGAGTGAAGCAGGAAAATGTAAACCGAGCATGGCAGTTTTGAGGTTGTGCTGCACATCCAAACTGAAGCTGTGTTACATAACTGAGACATGATGTCCCGACAGCAGGGTGCATCATGGGAGTAAGAATGTGTGTTTATTTGTGAGAATATCTTTCTACGAAGGATCAAATCTTGTACACCTGAAGATTTTCAGGATGTAATCATTGATCATTTCTGAAATGGATCCATTTGACTGGGGATCCAGGAGAAATCAATGTAACATCTTCGGACACTCCTGCAGTCTATTTAGAAGCGATGAGTGGACTATTGTACCACGAAGAGCAGCTGCAGCGTAAATGAACTGGAAGCTTTAGCAGAGATCAGCGCTGGATTTTCAGGCAGTATCATGGCTTTCCAAACCAGAGATTCTCAGTAGTGTCCACAAGAATGCAACAACACAAATAGGTATATTTCTATTAACTTGTATAAATAAAACCAATCAGGTTGCTCACACAGCAACACTCTGCAATGTGGACGTTGTTGCTCAGTGAAGAAAACTCAGTTGGACAGCTGCTGTCAGAGTCACTGGAGTGTTTAAATTAAATCAGAGGAGGCACATAGACATTAAAAACTATTGGCATGCCTGGGATTTAATGAAGACACAAGAGAGTGAGGGAGAGAGCAAGACTTTAGGCAGGAAGGTTGAGCAGAGCACATACAGTGTGAAGTTGCCTCTCCTCTTAACGCTAATAATTAACCAATGAAATCATGGTCAGAAAAAAAAATTGAATGTCATTGCTTCATCATCAGATATTGGAGGACTTAATGAGAAAATTGGAACTGGCCCAAAACACAAAACTCTGATAATTACATTATGTGTCTTTGTAAGCATCCATCTTCTAATTGCTTGTCTGAAAAAGACAGTATTATCTATTTTCCAGGCATAATAGTACCATTTTAAAGCACAATCAAGTAACTACGCTATCTTCAGTTGTTATAAAATGCTTTACATATCAAAAATGACTTAAAAGAAATTTGACTTTGCCTTGAAATTGGGCCTCTGTCTCTTTAAGAAACTCCTGCTCTCTCCGACACTCCACTTTAAGCACGTCGTCATAGCGACATTCCTCTATAAACATTTAACATTGTTCTTAGGAACATTTCACTGAGAAGTAGGTTGTATAATGAGCGCAGCAGATGTGCAGTTCCACCAGGTGTTTGCTAATTGCTGCTGCTGCTAGTCTGAAGGAGCTGAGTGGAGGAGGCACTTGTGAGAATGGCTGCCATGAGAGATTCAAGGATTTCTCAACATGCATGGAAGAATGAAGGCAACACTCCGGGTGTGTTTTGATAAGGGAATGACATTATAACACGATATTAAGCTTAAAAAGGTTGATTTTTAAACCTAATCTTTTACTGAGTTTGCAAAACTATTTCTAAATATTCAAGTATTTTTGATTAGTTTTGTTTTTTTTTTTTTTACCTGTGTTTTTCAAATTGCATTACATTTCTTAAAAACACAATCTTAATACCCTTTGCACAGTGACATTTGATTTTATTTCAGGAAAAATCAAATCCAAGATGTTTAAGTTCCAACTAGCCTGTCAAATTAAAATCAGTTAACTTGTTAAGCAGTTATTGATTATTTTAAACATGACACAGTCTGAACATCGACTGACAATGTTGCTCTAAGCTGAACTTAGAACCTTTAGATCAGGGATAAAATCTACAGAATAATATAACTTTACATGAACCTCTTGTTTTGGTTTGTGCTGTAACTAAAAGTCTCTGTTGCTCTCATCACAGTAGGACCATGCTAAACCTGAAGCAACATGCACAGATGTCACTCTGACCTTGTACAGACAGAGGTCGATGACTTGAGTGCAGACATCCCTCAGGTCAGTGCAGACCTGCAGCCGGTTGTGGACGAAAGCGCAGAGCTCCTCGTTGCTGATGGTGTCCCACACGCCGTCGCAGGCCAGCACCAGGAACTCGTCCATGGGCGAGCGCTCCACCACACACACCTCTGGCTCCGGCGAGACCATCTGCTGGCTGGGGGTCCGGTTTTCCGCCCCTTTGTAGCTGAAGTCCCCCAAAGCTCGGGACACAGCCAGGGAACCGTTGATCCTCTGAAGGGACACCGACCCGCCGGCGCTTTCGATGCGCTCCTTCTCCAGAGGGCTGTACGGTTTGTGGTCCTCGGTGGAGAAACACACCTGCCCCGACCGGCACAGCACGGCCCTGGAGTCGCCGCAGTTGCCGAAGTAGATGTAGTATGGGGAGAGGAGGGTGGACACCACGGTGGTGCCGCCTCTCTCCCAGCCTTCTCGCCGGGCCACAGAGTGCAGGTGTTTGTCTGTCTGCATGAAGCCCTCTATGATGGCCCCCTTCACCTTTTCAGGGTTGTCCTCAGGTCCGACCCCACCTGTGCGCACAAATGGGTGTAAACTGAGACTGAAAAATCCCCCCCAAAACAGTGCATGTCTTCATCACATGTTCAGTGTGAAATCTCTTACCTGTGCCCAGGATGTGCCCCAGAAGGTGCTGGGAGCAGTACTGGGCCACCGTGCTGCCAGCGTGGCCGTCGAACACGGCGAAGAAGCTCCACTCGGCGAGCTCTCCTCCCAGCTGCGGCACGCAGTTGTGGAAGTCCTCCATGTTGGCCCTCCAGCCCTGCATGCTCCCCAGGGCGTAGGTGAGGCCCCAGCGGGCGCAGCCCTCCTCGGTCAGCTTGTCCAGCACCGGCCGGTCCAGGTATGGGCTGGGGATCACCTCCTCCTTCTCCCCCTGCCCCCTCTGCTCCCCGTCTGACGCCCCCCCGCGGCCCCCTTTGAAGAAAGAGCTGACCCTCTTCTCTGTTTCTTTGACCAGCTGCCGCACGAATGCAGGCATCTCCACGTTGCCCTTCCTGGCCGTCCTCATGGCTCCTATGCGCAGCTGGTGAGGGTGTGATCTTCGCTTGTCCAGGCTCTGGTGCTTGTGGATGGGACGCAGGGCCGGGCTTCGGGCCTGACTCTGGGCCTGTGCAGTGTCTGCGTAGCCCTGCTGCTCCAGGGCTCAGAGCATGGCTGCCTCAGCTGATGGATGCTCTGCTCCCCTCCCTCTTGCTGCTCATCTCCTTTCGTCTTCCCCTCTGGAGACCTCACTGATCAGCGCACTCTCCTCCCCTCATCCTTCCTCTCTCCTCTTTGTTTTTTGGTGTCTTCTCTGTGTGACTGTGATTTCACCTTCTCCCTCGCTTTTTCATAGCTCTACCCTCTTTCTCCAGCTCTCCCCCCCCTGGCCTTGTTATTTTCCCTGCCTCCGCTGTGATTGGCTGGCTATTTGTGTGCACCAATCTCTTCCTCTGTTGCTCTCCCTCTGTCACTGTCCACCTATCTGCAGCTCTGGCCCTCCCATGATGATGGTAATCTCAACCTTTGATCGGCCGGGATTATAGGCTTGTGGATTAAAGGGCTGTCGGCCATTTAGGGAGCCTGTGATTCGATGGTGAGACTCTGGTGTGGATGGTCTCTTTAAAGTGATATTACACTTTATTTTGTTTCCTTTTTTAAAACATTTGCCATGGTGACACATGCGCCCCCTAAAATAAAGCCTGTAATTTAAGCTGCAGCCATTGTGTAATTATGTGTAAAGACGAGCTCAAGTCTTTAACTAGAATTTAATCATTATTGCTTCGTGGGTGTTTAACGTTTTTTTTTTTTTGCATAATAGCTTTTCGTGCATCTGTCTGAGCTTCTTCTTCTTGTTTTGTGTGCCAGTTCACAAACATGAAACCCCTGAAACTTTACATTTTTCATCACGTTAGAACCACAAAGTGCAATGCATTCGATAAAAATTTGATTTGTTAGACCAACACAAGGTAGCACATAACTGACTAATGAACGGCTTTTATGTTTTCAGATAAAACATGAAAGGTGAACTTTCACCCCATTGTGATTTTCTGTAATTAGTACCTTCTGTTTGATCCGCTGCTCCAACTTAAAGCTACAGTTTGTAACCTCTGTTTAAAAAAAAAAAATTTTTTGTACATATTTGCTAAAACTGTCACTATATTGTCACAGTTTAGCACGAGACAGATAATCTGTGAAAAAACCGAGCTCCTCCGCCTCCTCCCAGTGACACTGTTGTCGCTCCCATTAAAAACCAACCAGTCAGGTCAAATGTTTTAGTGCTGCCAATAAACCTTGTGTTCATTCTGCTAAATGTGCTTATGGTGAAGAAGCGACTTAACATTCCAGGAAAACCATTTATCCATCATCATCAGATGACAGCATTCTTGACACGCTCCATTGTGGTGAACCAGCTGTAACCCAGCAGAGAGCATAGGGGGAGGTGGTGAGCAGAGTGATTGGCAGCGCTAAGACCCTCCTCCTTGGTTTTGATTGGTTGTTTCTAACCAGGTGCTTGAATTTTTCGCACATTAGCTGTTTTACACTATAATGTCACAACAAAGTGACAGTTTTTATTATACAACCCTGCCAGCATTCCTAGGTGGGCCCTATGTGGGGAAAAGGAGGGCAGGCCATATGGGTCCCATATTGGTTTGTCCGCAGGTTCCACGATGGCCCCACATGGGTTTGCCCATGTAAGGCCACAGCCCACATGGGCCCTACATGGGCCCTATATGGTGGTAGCCCACATGGGTTTGTCCATTTAGGGCCCATGTAGGGCCCATGTGGGCTGTGGCCCTACATGGGCAAACCCATGTGGGGCCATCGTGGGACCCGCAGGCCCCAGGCATGCTGGCTGGGAAATTGCTAATTCGGCGAGAAACAGCAGGCGCCCTGCTGAATTCGGCCTTTTGAACGAACCTGATGCTCAGACTTGATATAGATTTCAGTGACTCACAGAAAGGGGAGAAGAAAGTTTTAATAACAGCCCTCATTGCCATAAAGGATATTAGCAACCATATTATTGTTTCAGTTACTGGAATTTATAACATTATTCTGCGTTAATAGGGGTTAGGGTACCCTAGATTTTATTACCCACTTACGGACTCTGTTGGTTGGGTGAGTGGATTTTATTTAGGTTTGTCAGAGTAAAGAGGATGAATGCCAGTTTGTGCCAGAAGTTTCTTCCCATGGTATAGTTCTGCATCACATTTCCTACTTAAAACCCTAATAAAATATATAAAAATTTGATGCAATGCTGCAAAATGTGTTCAGGTTCAGGGGATGAATCCTCTTGTGAGGTTCTGGAAAGCTACAAAGCTCGTGGATTGGAGATTTAAATTAAATTATACATTTGTTGGTATCGCTTGGTTCTGACTACACAGAGAATCAGTTTTCCATTGAAAAAAAAATAAAAATAAAAAACGGGAAAAATATATAAGACCTGAAAACTGTAATGGAATAAGCTGTTGTAGCTTTAGGACCAAAATCCCCTCTGTGTTTATTTTAATCTAAATGAACAGATTTTGTTTTCTCATGATTATGCAACCTGCTGTGACTGACAGCTGCTTTCCTTGGTGGCGTTTCTCAGACAACAGCTCAAACCTGTGGGGTCAGCCAGAATGACGGCGCCTCCCTCTGTAAATAATCATGTAGCTTGATGTGCTTCGACAACGATGGATGCGTAATTTACAACAGGCTGCTGGTCGCAAAAGAGCAAAGAAAATAACCCATTACCTGAGTTTTGATTTCCTCTAAATAGTCATTTATTGCTTTAGTACTACTCATAATCTGCATATTTAACGTTTATTTAAATCCCATTGAGCTTCAAAACTTCTTTTTTCAAGAAATACCAGGAGCAGTAGCAAGTATCAAACACAGTTACAAGAATTATAGTTAAATACAGGCATAAAAGAAACAAAAATACATTACAGTTAGATAAAAATGGCAAGTCATCTAAGTGAAACAGTTGCATGTTATGGAATTAGCCTTAAAGACTATTTTTTAAATGTTATTTGTTGTTATTTTGTTAGTTTTGATGTGATACAAAACTAACAAAGAAGAAGGCAAAAGAAAATCATGACAACATTACAGAGTAAAGAGGATGAATGCCTCTTTACTTCCACATTGGCAATATTTCCTCAGCAAAAGCCAAGTATGAACAAAAAGCTGTGAGAAAAAAAAAAAAAACTAAGTACACCTTGTTTTTAGTATGCACAAGCTTTCAATCAAGCTGAGGTCTGGACTTTGACCCAAAGCAACACTGAAGTTATTTTTTCTTTCTGCTGTTCTGTAATAAATTTGTTACCGTTTGGAGAAATGCGTTAATTAACCAGTTTCTGCCCAACTTTAGCTGTGGGTCAAATACCTTTTATTTTGGTTGGTCGAATTGGTGGCAGATCCCTTGGAGGCAGCATGGGCGTACTCAGTTTTTCCACTTACAGCTTTTCCATTTTGGTTTCCTTTCTCAAATAATTAATGCAAGTCTGAATAAAACCTGCCATGCATTTTTTTTAAAATATACTTTAGATTTCAAAAATATTTGAGCCTATAATGTCCTGATTATTTTATTATGCTTTCCCACACAATATCCGAAAATTTCCCTCAAGGTGCAATAATTTTCATATTAAAAATTTTATTAAAGGGAAAGTATCGTCAAAACGGAGTCAAACAAGTCAGTGTGAACATTGAACTTAAATACTGAAATAGAAACTAAAATTTGGCTCAAAGAGACACAATTTAAAGCACAAACCTAAAAGTGACTCAGCCGAATCTATTTACATTTAGACCTTGAACTCCTGTGATGCCGTTTCCATCTACAGCTTGAGTCAGCCTCAATCTGAAATTCATCAGTTTGTCATCAGTGCTGCAGAGTGCAGCTGGTGCCTACAGACCTGGGCTGTTCCCTCATGAATCCTGATCAGTGATAAATTTCACATCAGAAGCTGCTCCTGGCTGGTCTGGACAGGCCTCTCACACGCTGACCGAGAGGGCAGGAGGGTCCCAGGAAGCTGATGGGACATGTCTCAGGTTCCCAGTTTTCAGTGTGTGTGTGTGAGTGAGTCGTCATAGGGTGTATCCAGCATGGGATAAAATTAGGCCGGGGCAGCCTTATACTGCTGACGGAGCTGGGAAGGCCAAAAAAAGCCTGGGGTGCAAGCCAACGGTGGAAGCTCAGGGAAGAGAGGGGAGCAAGCAGCACCGCCACCGAAATGGCCTCCAAACGTAAGGAAATAACAAGCACCAGCTAAAAGCTTAGAGAATCGGGAGAACAGCTGTGAGGTGGAGGGAAGCGACGGGTTCTCCGTTTCTCCTTTAGGCAGATTTAAGGGGTCCAGGTTGAACTCCGAGTCCAGCATGTGGGCAGAAAAGGGACTCATCTAAATGAGACCCAGGTTATCCCAATTCATTTTGAAGAAAAAGATATTGACAACGATGTTTGACTTGCTACTTACATTTGTTTTTAGGATTAGTGTGTAGTTTGGTGTGTCTTTGCCACGCTGTGGGAAACAACTTAATTGGTGCTCCAGCTAAAGTGAGAGTGGGTCGGCTCAGTCCTGAGTGTAAATTCAATGAAATAGCTACATTTTATCTCGTTTGAGCACGTTGTGGTAGTTCATCCCCTGTTGTTTGAAATGCAACTTGTTTGACTTTAAGCTGAACTCGCTAATCTGTGAGATTCCCAACTCTTTTTATAGGAAAGATAATGATCTCCAGTTTTAAAGTAGTTGTCAGATCTTTGGGAGGCTGAGTATTTGATATAGGATCCTAGATAATATTTTACACTTTTATTCAGAGCCTATCATCACACATTATAAATAGCTCCAGACATTTGTATTTTTATTTTGTTCTTCTTAAATCTGCTGTATTTCTTAATTTAAATTCAGAAGATTGTTTTATTTTTCATGACTGTTAAATATTTTTCTGTTTTCCTTGACAAAACCAGTGTAGGTTGCATGCGTGACGGTCCGGTCCGGTCCGTCGCAGACATAATGATACGCGTCGCATTTAGTTTGTTTTGAAGATGAACCTGATCTAAGTGGTGCGGCTGAATAGCGGGCCGCTGCCACTAGAGGACTGAGTCACACAGCATTTTGGAATCATCCGAAACAAGGCGGCTCCATTTAAAGGGATAGCTCAATTTCTTAAATGGGATTCTGTTGAAAGGTTGCGAGTAGTAAATATCTTACCAACAGTGGACATAATTGAAACCGAAACATTTGTGTACAGTGTATAAAAAAAGACACGCTTATAACCTTGTTCTCTCACTTCAAGATGGAACTAAACTTTTTCTGTTTTAATTTGCTTTGGATCACCAGAATGATTCATATTTGCTGAATAACACAACAATTAGAAATATATATTTTTAACTTTCATTGGATTTAGATGTTTTGATGCATTTTCTTTATATTTTGCAGATTTTCTGTGTAACTTAGGTCAAATGTTTTGGGCTTCTTCCTACAATTTTCTCACAATAGTTTGCTGGGATTTTGGCCCATTCCTCCTGACAGAACTGGTGTAACTGAGTCAGGTTTGGACTTTAGATCAGAGTTTTGTGACGGCCACTCCAGAGTCCTTGTTGGACTTTGTGTGGCCATTTTGTGACTAATTTGCTAGAATGTTTTCAGTCATTAGCCATTTCGAAGACCCAAACACTAACTTCCTGGCAGATGAGTTGAGACGTGGCATCAGCATTTCCACATAATGTTCTTTCCTCTATTTTGTGACCCATCACTCCTCTGGCAAACTAACCACACAAAACGATGCTGCAACTTTGCTACTGCAAAGTTCGGATGGTGTTCTCAGACTTATTAACCATCGAATAAATAAGTAGGAATAAGAAGAATAAGACTATGCAAAAATTAACAAAATAACATCCATTTGAACTGCCATGCCATTATTTGTTTGTCATGTTTCATTATTGAGTCAGTAATGAAACAAGCTACAATAAGCAGCTTTATTATTGGCCCAGCTCTGACAAGGTGCTAGCTAGCCCTGTGTTTGTTTTGTAAAAGAAGAGATGCAACAATGTTACTACTGGTAAAATACTGACTTCTCATAATCTCTCAACAGAACACCAATAAAAATAATGCAAACTCTTGCTTTACAGCTTTGTAGCAAAATTAGAAAAACATATTTTGGAGCTTTTATGCATTGTTTATCTGAGTTCTTATTTAGACTAAAACACGATAACAATTATGGAGAAAGTTAAATTTGTGTTGTGCAATCCCAGGGAATAAAAACCATAATAGATCAAAACTGTGATTTCCCCTATTTCCTTCTGGTATTGTTCTGACTTTGTGTCATTTTTACGGTCCCATCATATTGTTAGTGTGACATTCACTGCAGTTTATTCTCTAATTTATATATATATATATATA